TCCAGTTGTGTGTGTGTGTGTGTGTGTGTGTGTGTGTGTGTGTGTGTGTTCAAGGAAGGTACCTATCAGAACCCCTGGGGTCTCAGCCCTGCTCTTTCTTGCTGAGCCTCTGCCCTACAGCCAGCCAGAGCTCACAGTGTCAGGGGCCCCAGGAAGCTACCAGGCTGCCCCGAGGGAACTACAAGGTGAATCCTCTCTTTCTGCAAATTTACCCCCTGAGACAAGTTACTGCGGAGTCTGGGAAGATGTCTCCTCCTGGGCAAGGGGGACCCACAGTCTGGGATGTGCCATGGGGTCCCGGGATGTGGAATTGGGGGTTGGCTCAGGCACTCTGTGCCCCTGGCCAAGGAGAGCTCGAGGTGGGGCGGTGGGCAAGTTGTCCAGGGAACCCTGTGTGCTGGCCTGTGCCCGCTGCTCGCGGCCTGCCCTCTTACCTCTCTTGAAGGCCCACCGCTTCAGCCACAGCTTAGAGAAGGCTGGCCAGGAGTGGTTGAGCCCTGGGTCAGCCATGGGGCAGGCTTGCACGAGTGAGTGCAGCTGGGATGGAGCAGAGCTCAGCCGGGAATCCTTGCCAGGATGGGGCTGCCAGCAAGAGGGGCGGGGACTGCTGCAAAGGGCTGCCAGATGCAGCAGCTGGTGGGATCGTGGGGCTGGCGTTCTGCTATGGGGGCCCCTGGACTCCAGTCTGGGGGGAGGCCAAGCTCTAGCAGCATCCCCACCCCCAGCCCTATCGGCCTCTTACCTGGGCTGGACAAGACATTCCAAGAGGAGCTGAAGAGCGCGGGAGGAGTGGTGACGGTGGGTCCTGGGGAAACAGGCTAGACTGAGTCCTGAGTGTCTGAGTGTCTGTGTGCCCCGTCCCTGTTTAACGGGGCGTTTGTGTTGGTGCATAGTGCGTGTGCTGTCAGGTGAGTGTTTGAGTGCAAGTCTTGAGTGTCCACGTGTGTGTTCACACTCAGCATCTAGTGCAGAGGTTCTCAACCTGTGGGTCGCGACCCCTTTGGGCGGTAACGACCCTTTCTCAGGGGTCGCCTAAGACCATCCTGCATATCAGATATTTACAGTACGATTCATCACAGTAGCAACATGACAGTGATGAAGTAGCAACGAAAATAATGTTATGGCTGGGTCACAGCATGAGGGGCTGTATTAAAGGGCCGGAAGGTGGAGAGCCGCTGCTCTAGTGGGTTTCCCTGCGGCGTTGGAGATGTAACGGGCATACAGCGCTGCGCCCCTTTACGGTGTGCAGCAGTTACAGCCTCAGGGCGTAGCCGTCTGTAACTGGGAGTTGCTATGTTTTGACCACCTTTACCCATTCCCCCACCCCCAGCAATCACAAATCTGATGTTTTTTACGATAAGTTTTTTTAAAAAAATTAGATTCCACATATAAGTGGGCTCATATAGTATTTGTTTCTCTTACTTTATTTATAGTATTTGTCTGGTTTACCTTATTTAGCATAATGCCCTCAAAGGTCACCCATGTTGTTGTAAATGACAAGATTTCCTTCTTTTTGAGGCTGAATGATATTATCTATGTGCTTTTTCAAACGTCTGGGATTGTGTATGTGTGTATGAGCGTGTGTAATGTGTGTGTGTGTGAGTGTGTGTGAGTATATGAGTGTGTGTGTATGTGTGAGTGTGTGTGTGAGTGTGTGTATGTGAGTGTGTGTATGTGGGTGTGTGTGAGTATATGAGTGTGTGTATATGAGTGTGTGTATATGAGTGTGTGTGTGTGTGAGTGTGTGTAGTGAGTGTGTGTGAGTGTGTGTGTATGTGAGTGTGTGTGAGTATATGAGTGTGTGTATATGAGTGTGTGTATGTGAGTGTGTGTGTGAGTGTATGTGTGTGTGAGGGTGTGTATGTGAGTGTGTGTGTATGAGTGTGTGTGAGTGTGTGTATGTGGGTGTGTGTGAGTATATGAGTGTGTGTGTATGAGTGTGTGTATGTGAGTGTGTGTGTGAGTGTGAGTGTGTGTAGTGAGTGTGTGTGAGTGTGTGTGAGTGTGTGTGTGTATGTGCGTGAGTGTGTGTGTGTGCACATGTGTGTGAAGGCCATTAGTATCTGAGGGGTGGGACCTGCCTTGTCCTCTAGGCCTGAGGGAGACCTGCTCTGGCATCTGTGAGGGCTCTGCTGCTTGCCTGGGCTCTGTGTCTGCGTGTCTGCGGGATCTGGGTGTACCCAGTGCTGTGGCTGTGTGCGCACCTCCAGCGGCCAAGTGCTGCCTCCTAACTGGTGTTTTCATTCTTCTCTGAAAAATTCCTGGCTGTCTGGCGACTTCTTAGGCTCTTCCCTCCCTTCTCAGAGAGTTCTCCACACGCCCGTCTTTGCCCCTGCACGCCGCCCAATTGCACAGCCACTGCAGTCTCCTAGCTCTCTCTGAGGCTAAATCCAAAGGACACTTCCCCGACTCACCTCGACTGGCTACCTCTGGCCACATCCCCCTAGAAATTCATTCCTCCTATGATGCAACAGGCTGAATTGATGAATGATGAGAGAGAATCACAGACTGGCTGCCTCCTACATGCCCCCCTCCAGGGATCAAGCCTGCAACCTGGGCATGCACCCTGATGGGGAATTAAACCATGACTTCCTGTTCATGGGTTGACGCTCAACCACTGAACCACACCAGCTGGCCTAATCTTCCCTTTTTTGCCTGACCTTTAAACTCTGTGTTCCCAGGGCTCTGTCCTGGTCACTTCCTGCTCTCCTACCGGCCCTGGTGATCCCCCCTGCCCCTCCCTCATTGCTATCATAAGTAGGTGGCCCCGAAATCTTTCAGTCACACAAAGACACAAAAACACACACTCTATATACTAATACCTGTGGACAATGGCAGACACACACACACACACGCATAGACAGACACAGACACATACAATTATACACAGTCAGACACATACATAGAACCCAGAGAACAGCTCGTGGACATTTAAAAAGCACCTCATCTGCTGTGCTCCAGGTTTGAATTCTTTATCTCCCACCACACATGTTTCCCAACAGGCTACCAACGCCTCGGGGACCCCTTGGTCCCTGGGCGGAGGGCAGATGTGAGAACTTCGGGAACACCTAGGGCAGTGAGAAGCCAGGAAGAGCCCCCATCAAGCCCCTGGCACCAAAGGCAGGAGCCCAGGAGGCCAGAACCAGGGGAACGCGAGGTTAGAGTGCAGTAGGCAGTGAGGTTTTAGAAAAATCTTACATTACAAATCCGACAAGGACACCCTTTCTAACAGTGCAAGCTCGCTCATTGTAGAAAGACACAAAACACACGCTGTCCACCAACATCCAGCACCATAGGCGGCTTAAAAAGAACAGCCCCCAAAGCTGGACAAAACTGGAGGGGAATCCCCGCCCGCAACTGGGAGGCACTGGCACTGGGGCTTGAGGGGTCAGGCCCCGGAGGGCAGGAAGCTAGTGACGTGAGGCAGGCACGATGCCATGTTTTTTCTCACGGGAGTTTCTGGATATGAATGTGGTTTGTACGTGACTGGGAAGCAGACCAGAAAGAGGCCCAAGGATACGGCTGTCCTCTCTGTCTAGTCCTTTCTCAGGAGCCCACCCTGCAAACTCAGTAACGACTGGACCACCATCAGGTTCTCCTTCCAGGGTGGCCCAGAAGCTGCTAAGGATGCACACAGGTTGCCTGGCAGGGACTGCTCAGGGAAGCAAGGTTGGGGGACAGGGACAGGGACAGGGTGAAGGAACAGGAACGTCTGACCACGTTTTCTGAGCTCCTACTGCGTGGGGGCCTGTGCTCTGATCTTACTTGTAAGGGCTAGGACAGCTCTTTAATGGAGGAACGGAGGGAGGGCCAGCGTGGTGAAGTCACTTGCCCATGGCTGCCCAGAGGCAGGGGAGCGGGATTTGAACCCACAGCAGGCTGACACGACCATCCTGTCATCTGTATGATACTGAGTGTGGCAGGCGTCCAGCACCGTGTCAGGGCTGGGAGTCAGGGTGTGCGAAGACGGCCGAGACAAGACATGCTGATGGGTTTGCCATTGACATTCCATGGTGCTTCCAGGTCCAGTGAAAAGCCTGCCTCTGCCCAGAAGCCCTCCCAGAGAGGCCCGGGACCATGGCAAGGGGGCTCAAAGGCGGGCAGTCCTCCCTTGATCTTGCTTGGTTGTCGAACCTTCTTAGAACTGTAGGAGCCTGGGCCAGTGGGATCAGCCACCTGAGTGGCCCTGGAGGCCTTCTCTGATGTGCCCCAGCCTCACTCACCAGCTCCCGGGTCACCTTCCCGGACCCCAGAGTGCCTGAACCTGCCTGGTGGCCGTGTGGCCTTGGGGGCTGGGAGGAAGCAGAGGCTTGGGTGTGCCCTGAACGAAACCACAGCCTTCCTCCCTACTGCACCCCACCCCAGGCAGCCTGGGGTGGGAAGCTCCCCGAGGTGGGCCATGGTGGGAGCCAGGAGCACCTCCTTGGGGGAAGGGGAGCTGGAGGGCTGCCCGGTGGAGGGTTCTCCTCCTTGGGTGAGCTAGCCAGCTTGGGGAGCAACCGTTCTCAGGCCTGGCTCTCACATATCAGCCTGAAGCAGAAGTGTTTGTTTTGAAAGTCAGACACCCCAGCCTCAACTTTCAGATTCTGTTTCAGGGAGGTCCATGGGGTGTGGGTGTGTGTGTTCCAAAATCTCCAGTTTAAAAAGCGAAGCATGCCTGGCGACTCTGCTGCAGGAAACCCAAGACCCTCCCCCTAGCATCCACTGTCTCTCTTCCCCAGACTTTGGCCACAAGGGGCTCCATCCTCCTGTTGTACCTTGTGGTCTGTCATGGACCCCAGCCCCTGGAGAGACCTCTTAGGACCACAGACTTTTGCAGGACAAACAAGCAGGTCAAACCACCTCGCCCGCTCACTTGAAAACAGGCTGACCAGAGGGTCGAGAGAAATAGGATGGGCTGTCTGTCCACTGCCCCTCAGGCTACACCAGGCCTTGCTGCCAATCTGTCCCTGTTGGTCCATCTGTCCCTCCACTCCCACGCCCCCAGGATGGTCACTCACCACATGGAGACTTGTCCTCACTGCTGCAGGCACACAGTCCGGCTCCTGCAGCCCCCACTACCCATGGCCAAGGCCTCCAGCCTGTCCAGGGGGAACATCAGTGGGTCAGAGTCCAGAGTAACTGCAGGGTGACCTCAACTTCCTTTTCCTTAATTGCCCGACTGCTTGGTCCCTCTGTCCCCAGCTGTGGGCTGAGGTGGGGGTCTGAGTACAGCATAGGCTTGGGGTTCTAGAAGCAGGGTACTCACTTCCACCACTCAGCCCTGTGGGTGCAGGTGTCCTGAAGAGATGAGTGGGGGATGGGGGAAGCCTCAGCACCCTCACCCCCACCCCAACAGCTTCCTGTAGAACCAACTGCCAAAGAGGAACAGGGCTCTGGGCCTCGCATGGGTACACAGGCAGAGACTCATGGGAACACAAAGTCACGTGTATCCAGAGACATAGTTGCTCAGACACGCTTATGACCATGCACTGGTATGTGGGTACACACTTGGTTACATCGGGCATGGAGGCACCTGGGCCCCATGGTCTGCTGATAAATCGTTAATAACCACCTCTCTGACCAAAATAAGAAAATAAAAGAAATAAAGAAAATGAAACCCTGGTACTTAGCATCTGCTGATTCCCATGGTACAAATACTCCCATCATAGCTGGTTTCATCTGCCAACCTGATGTCACTGAGTGTGGAGTTAGGAGGAAGTGCTCAGTGTGGCTCCAGCACATCACTGGAGTGGGGCTCAGGCACGTGGGCTCAGGCACACAGGATGCTGGCACACAGGTGTGTGGACACCTGTGGGTCCAGGGCCACACGGTGGTGTGCAGACAGGGCAGTCTACCCACAGAGACAGCTGGGAGCATGCAAGGCACACACAGCTTATGCATGGTGCCATGTGGAGCCGCACACCGGCACACGGGAGCACACACCGGCACACGGGAGCACACACCTGGACTCTGAGGGTAGGGGGAGCCTGTGAGGAGACACAAAGACAGGCTCAGCCATCTTGAGTCAGCTTACAGAGCCAGTTGTTAAACGTTCAGGGATTTTGCAAGCTGTTGTTAAATGCAGCTGTCATCAAAATTTAATTATATAAATTGGCAGTTAAATAAATTATGTTAAGAACAAAAGTAATAACCACTTAAATCTATCACCAGGTACTTAATGCAGCTAAACTATAAAAATGGTTGAAGTGGGGTTCTAAGATGGCTGAGGAGTAGGTGAAAGCAACGCACACCTCCTTCCGGCATCAAACCAGGTTAACAGCTAACATTTAGAGCAATCAACCTGAATAAACAACAGAAGGACACCTGGACAGGAGTATGGTATCCAAGGATCGAAAAAGGAAGCTACTGGTAAGAAGGAAGAGACTGGTAAGAAGGGCGGAGAGGCAGAGAAGGCTGGTCCCTGAACCCAGAGACAGTGACTGAGAAGCTAGAGAAATATCACAACTGCACCAGTCCCCTCAAGGAAAGTGGGGTCTCAACCCTATGCCAGGACCCCCAACCCAGCACCAGTGCTGGGAAGAAGAGCCTGCACAGCATCTGGCAGCAAAAATCAGTGGGGACTTTGTCTGCTGGAAAGAGGAGGGAGTCTGCTAGAATCCCAGGTGCTCTACTTAAGGGCCAACACACAAGGGCTTCTCTTGGCACTCACCTGGGCCTCTGGTAGAGGGAAGGAGACTCAGGCATATGGAAGCCATAAAGGGAAGATCTGGGTGGCACAGCTCTGGAGATCTGGAAGGTAGGCTACTGAGGTCCTGGTCCTGAGTCAACATCCCCCCGGCCCTCAGGCACCATCTCCCAGGGTCGATCACTTCTGTTCTTACAGCACCAGCTGGAGAAAGTGTACTAACCCCGTCCTCCAAACACTGGAGACACCACCCTGAAACCTCCAGTCTGGCATAAAAGACTGTTGTCTGCACTCAACAGGGACCCGAATGCACTCTTCCTGGAGAAACTATAGACAGACTCTTAGATGATCATTGAACTGAGTGGCTCTGGAACAAGGGCCAAGCTTTCCCCCTTCCACAGGTGAGGCAGGTGCCACACCAACCCACCGGAAGATGCCCTTGTTAAGGTCTCAGGCAGCAGTCAGCTGTGGAGCTAGGGGGAGGCGTGCACTTGCACCCCTCCTGTAGCCCTACACCACCCCCAACAAAGGACTACTTAGATATGCATCCCCAAATCTGCTGGCACCAGCCTGCCGGTGCAGTTCCACAGGGGGAAGGAAGCACAATGCAGAACTGGGACATTTGGCACAACCCACTTGGAGCCTCCTGTTAGGTTCACTAGCAGGACACCACCAGGCTAGGAGAAGGTAGCTAGCTTCCCTCCTGAGGGCCAAGGGCCCACATTACCTCAATCAAAGGGTGGATTGGATTTGCATTCCCCATCTGCTGGCCCCATCTGCTAAACTCATATCTGCGGGGGGCAGGGCTCACAACCCAGAGCTGAGACATTTGATGCAACCCCCTCAGAACATTCTGTTAGGGTCTCTGGCAGTCACTGCAGAGATAGATGGAGGTGAGTAGCTCTCTCCCCTCCCAAGGGCTGGCACCACCCCAAGGGGAGGGCCACCTTGACCTCCAAACCCTGCAGGGGTTGGGGAGGGAGCAGGGAAAGCCCAGCTGGCCCCATCCTGCTAGGCTCAGTTTTGAGGGGGGAAGGAGGCTCTGCTCAGAGTAGGGACATTCAGAGTGCATCTACCTCAGAGGCTCCAGTCCAGGGCTTGAGCGGGTGTGGCTACAGAGCTAAAAGGAGAAGTGCCATTTCCCCCCTCCTCTGGCACATTTTGTACCACCCCCAAAAGAAGGCTTTCTCAAACTGTTTGCCCTCCTGCAGTGAGGGCAGCTGCCTACACCTAACCCTGTGGTGCACTCCTCCTGGGGGAGTTAGAGTTGGAGACTCTGGCAGAGTCTAAATGGTATGGCTGTGGAGTCAGGACCACATTCTCCCCATTGAGTGCCAGACCAAACTAGGGCATCCACTAATCCTGTCTGCCTGACCTGGTAACCCCCACCTACCAAGCCTGAGCCCTGTGGAAGGGTCAGTGGGCATGGCCAGCTGGTTCTCACTCTATAGCCTTCCTGCATAAGACACTGGAGGAAATCCAGGCAACCTGGAAGGGGAGCAGAGTAGCCAACAGGTGGATGCCAACCTTAGGGAGTCTAGGTCTTTTATTCATCTGACTCCAGCTCAGAGCTCCAGGAAGCTGACCCACCTGCACAGATTGGCCCTTCCCATGCACACCCAGGTTCAACAGATGGAGACATTAACAGTGAACACTGTGGGAGCTTCAGACAGGTAGCCCTAAACTGGTTACAAAAAATGTCCAAACCCCACTCAAGTGGACCCAAACCAATAAAACTAGTGGTGGGCTTTAGATCACATCAGAACTTGATCTCACCAGCCACACAAGCAACACACCTAAAGGAAGAATCTGGTAGGCACCAGACACTACTGGGAACAACTCCACAATATTGCATACCTGGTGATCAAGGTTTACCCTCATAGCCACCCAGCCAGAAGGGTTAACTCCACCCAAGAAAGGGCCAACAGCATTCATCAAGAGGCAACTAAAGCAGGGGGTGCACGTAACCCATAAGAAACATCCCTGGAGCAAGGAGCACAGGTGATCTGGAAGGTTGTGCTACTGAGTCCAACCAGACACCCTCAGGCTGCACTTGCAGAGCAGCTTGCACTCTGTGGTCAGGTTGAACCTCAGCCAGCCAGCCTGAGCATTAATTTCACCCACAAAACAGGCCAATAGCAGTCAAGATCCACATAACCTACACAAGGGACATTCCTAGAGCATCTGGCTCAGGGGATTGCATCACTGGTTCCCTCAGTACACTTACTATATAAGGCCTCACCATGAATAGTGGGAGTCATAACAGTTCTATCTAATACATAGAAACAAATACAAAGAGACAGCTAAAATGGGAGGACAAAGAAACAACCCTCAAATGAAAGAAAGGAAGAATCTCCAGAAAAACAACAACAAAATAAAATGGAGGCAAGCAATTTATCAGACAAAATGTTCAAAGTAACTGTTATAAGGATGCTCAAACAACTCAGTGAGAACTACAAGGAACTTAATGGAAACTACAAGGAACTTTTGGGGGGGGGCTGCGGGGGGAAACTATAGTCTATTTTAATTCTGACAAAATAGACTTAAAAACAAAGGCCATAAAAGAGATAAAGAGGTCACTACATAATACTAAAGAGACTGATCCAACAAGAGGATATAATCCTTATCCTATATAATAAATAGCTGATATGCTAATTAGACCAGAAGACATATGAAAAAAGATATAGAAACCATGGATAAGAACTAGTCAGAAAGAAGAATAACCAATCTGACATCAAGACTACATTGGAAGGAATTAAAAGTAGGCTGGATGAAGCAGAGAATCAATTGTTCAAATTGGCAATTTGGAACAGAAGGTAGGAAAAAAAACACCCAATCAGAGTAACACATAGAAAAAGAATTATGAAGAATGAGAATAGCTTAAGGGAACTCCAGGACAACACGAAACATAATATCTGTATCATAGGGGTCCCAGAAGGAGAAGAAAGCGAGCAAGGGAGGGGGAATCTGTTTGAAGTAATAATGACAGAAAACTTCCCTAAACGGGTGAAAGAAAAAGTCACACAAGCTTAAGAAGCACAGGGAGCCCCAATCAAGATGAATCCAAAGAGATAAATGCCAAGGCACATCATAATTAAAATGACCAAGGTTAAAGATAAAGAAAGACTCTTAAAGGCATTAAAAGAGAGAGACGGTTAAGGGAGCTCCCAGAAAGCTGTCAGAAGATATTTCAACAGAAACACTTCAGGCCAGAAGGGAATGGCATGAAGTATTCAAAGTAATGAAAAGCAAGAACTGGCAACCAAGATTGCTCTATCCAGCAAGGTTATCATTTAAAATTGAAGGTGAAATAAAGATCTTCCCAGACAAAGGAAGATTAAAGAAGTTCAGTACCACCAAACCAGCATTGCAAGAAATGCTTAAGGGACTGCTTTAAGAAGAAGAAGAAATAGAGAGAGAAAGGAACATAGGCATAAAGAAAATAATGGTAATAAATAAGTACCTATCAAAACCTTAAAAGTAACTGGATTTACTGCTTCAATCAAAAGATATAGGGTAGCTGAATGGATAAGAAAACATGACCCACATATATGCTGTCTATAAGAGACCACCTCATAACAAAAGATTCACACGGACTGAAGTGAAGGGATTGGGGAAAATATTCCATCCAAATGGGAAAACAAAGAAAAAAAAAAAAAGCTGTGGGAGCAATACTTATTTCTAACAAAATAGACTTAAAAACAAAGGCCATAAAAGAGATAAAGAAGG